CATCCTCATCAAGCCAGCGGAAGGGAAAACATACGCGGAAGTGCTAGGAGCATTCCGCAACAGTGTTAACCCCAAAGAATGCGGAGCAGATGTTACGAGGATCCGCAGCACAAAAGCTGGTTGCATCCTAGTTGAGCTGTCCAAGAGCACTAAGAACAAGGAACCTCTAACGCAGGCCATCTCAACGGCGATAGGAGCGGCAGGAAAAGTCCAATCGAGGAAGCCAAGGATGACCCTGGAGATTCTCAACCTCGAAGCCATCGCCCAGGAAGAGGAAGTCCGCAACGCCATACAAAAGGCGACCGAAAACCCAGACGAGCTCGGCGAGCTAAAGGTGACGATGCTGCCTCCGAACCGACGACAGGAGAGAATGGCTCTGGCTGAAATGAATGAGACTGGAGCCCTGTCCCTCTTAAAGAAGGGAGTAGTAGTGGTCGGCAGGATCAGATGCCGGCTTAGAAGAAGAATTGTCATACAAAGGTGCTATAAATGCCTGGGCTACGGGCACACCAGACACGACTGTAAGGGCCTGGATCGAACACACCTCTGCTACAGATGCGGCAGGGAGGACCATAGGGCCAAAGACTGCAGCACGGATCCAAGATGTGTGCTCTGCAGCGGATTACAAACAGGAGGGGACGTAAAACATGTTCCCGGATCAGGAGCATGCAGGGCCTTCAGACAGGTCTTGGACAGAAGAAAAAGAAGCCAGAGATAATGCCCAGAGTCCTCCAAGGAAACATGAACGGGGCCAAAGACGCTGACGCCCTCCTACCGCAAATGCTGTACGAAAGAGGGGTGGACATAGCGCTCATGAGTGAGCAGTACGCGAACCACAAGCCTCCCACATGGCTCAGCGATGCCGCCAAAATGGCAGCAATCTGCGTGGCTAAAACGGGAGTGATCCGCCAGGANAGAATAAAGTAACAAAAATTCCGTAAAAATTTCAAGTCGATAGCTCGAAAACTCTCCCTCTGAGAGATGACACCGTTTGTAAAAAGGGCATTTTGAGAAAAACGCGTTTAAAGTTTAGCGCGTGTCAATTTACGCTCCAATCTCTTTTTCCAAAAAAGGTTGTAGCGACTGTAATAATTCGAATTGAAATTTGAAAATTGTACAGAACACGCACAACTATATGTACTTCAAAATGAGACCCAAAAAAAATCGATTTTTTTTTAAATTTACACTGAGATGGTCTCTTAAATGACCTAATTTGAAATTGTATTTGATAACAACTGTCACAAGTTGTAGCATGCGTATCAAAGAAGAACATTATGGAAAATATTTGAGTTTTGCTCATGAAATTCGTAATTCGTATTTATTTCTATTTATTTTAGGAATATATTTTTGAAAATTCAATTTTTCGTATCAGAATTCGGGTGATTTTTATTAAAGGAAAAACTTAAATATTGACAGGATAAGTCGATTAACGTCTGTTGATTGAAAATCAATTACGTTCGTTGAAATACATACATGTGCATCCATGTGCATCGGTGTGAATCGAAATAAATACATGAAAATAAAAAATTTGTAAAACCTTTTTTCCTTGACTTGATTGAAAATAATAATACGATAGTATTATTTATACGAATAATACTAGAAAATAATAATAAACGAGAGTGAAAAAGAGAAGGTGTATATTGCCGATGAAAAGTTTGCCATTACTTTATTAACAAATTCAAAGAAAAAAAACCAGGGATAGTTATTAAAAAAAAAAAAAAAATTTTAATACCTTCATAATAACCATGGTAAATTTATTTATTAAAAATAGAACATTTTACATTTTCTATTACTTTGTTTATATCCATGAATGAATATTTTTCTTCAAATCATCCTTTAGTTAGTCATCATTTCTTTTCTTTTTTTTAATAACAATCTGAAATATTTTAGACATCCTAACATTTAATTTCTTATCGAATATTTGTCTATGCTTCTTATAAAAAAAAATGTCAAATATATGAAGGACCAATGGTATCCAACTCTGGGACTCGTCGTCTGTCAACTCTAATGTTGAAATCCTTAAAGGGTTATATACAGTTAGACGGCCGAAAAAAAGTGAATTTTCCAGAATTTTTTCTGAGAAACCTTTTAAATTTATTGATCCAAAAATTTATACACATATTATGGTATCTTTTAACTGTATTTTAAGACTTAGTACTAGTAAAAATATTTATTTGAAAAAGAGCTACAGCTGATCTCCAGGAGCTCCTCTCAAAAAAGACGTTTTGCGGTGACCACTATATATCGGAACTGGATCATCTGAAATTAAAAAACCAAACAGATTTCGTTAAAATAATGTTAAATCTAGTAATTAATCGAAGGAATAAGCAAAATAAAATTTTTTGACAAAATAATAACTCCTACATAAATAATAACAATTATACAGTTACCCAGCTGCTGGACACACTCAAACAAAAACTTGCCGTATATGCAGCAAGACTTAAAAGATATAACGAATCATATAAGAAGAAAATCGAAAACAGAACATTCTTAACAGTGAAAGAACATTGAACAGAAAACTAAACACAGAACAAGAAATAGGACCTATATAACCAACTATAAAAGAAATAACCACTTTCTGGACACAGATATGGTCAAACACAACAGAACACAACACACATGCAACATGGATAACAGACGAGAAACAGAAATATGAAGACATGCCAGAACAAGCCGAATACAAAATAACAGAAGACGAGCTAAAAAAAGACAATACGCAGCACACATAACTGGAAACACCCAGGACCAGATCACATACAAAACTACTGGTACAAGAAATTTACAACTACACACCCATACCTAACACAGCAGATAAATAAAATAATAGAGGACCCTCAAGAACTCCCGAATTTCCTAACCGAAGGGATCACTTTTACTAAACCCAAAAATCAAAACACTGAAAACCCAGCAAACTATAGACCAATTACGTGCCTACCAACATTATACAAAATAATAATAAGTAAAATATGCCGGCAAATCGATACACACCTCACAAAAAACAATATAATTTCAGAAGAACAAAAAGGATGCAGAAGAAATAGTCAAGGATGTAAAGAACAACTCATCATAGATAGTATAATAATGAACCAAGCAAGAAAGCAGAAACGAAACCTACACACATGCTATATTGGTTACAAGAAAGCCTTTGACTCAGTACCACACACATGGCTATTAGAAATCCTGAAAATATACAAAGTAAATAAACGTACACCACAATTCCTAAAACATACCATGTCAACATGGAGAACCAGAATTATATTTATTAAAAACACCAACGGATACCATAAAAACGGAAGAAATAAAAATTAGAAAGGGCATCTTCCCAGGAGATACATTAAGTGCCCTATGGTTCAACATGTGCCTAAACCCATTATCTACAATATTAAACAAAACTAAATATGGATATCAAATCAGAAATAACAGACAAACGCAGTACACAATAAACCACTTAATGTATGTAGATGACATAAAACTATATGCAGCAACTGGAACACAATTAAATACGCTTTTAAGAATCACAGAAAATTTCACATCTGACATAAAAATGCAATTCGGAATAGAGAAATGTAAGACAACACATACTGAAAGAGGACAATGGATCACAGACGATACGCAAAGAACATTACAAAATGAAACACTAAAAAACTTAGAAAAACACGAAACATACAAATACCTCGGCTTTGAACAAAATACTAAGATAAACCACACAGAAATTAAAAAATACTTACAAAAACAATACAAACAAAGACTCACAAAAATACTTAAAACCAAACTAAATTCAAAAAATCTCGTCAAAGCAATAAACACATACGCAATAACAGTCCTTACATATTCCTTCGGAATAATCAATTGGTCAAACACAGACTTAGGTGACACTAATAGAATAACAAGAACACACCTGACAAAGTCACTAAAGCTACACCCGAAATCATGTGTAGACAAATTAACAATAAGTAGAGAAGAAGGTGGTAGGAGAATAACGGACATAAAAGCGTTACACAATAGACAAATAAAAAATCTTCGCAAATACTTCCACACAAAAGAAACACAGCTACATAAAGCAATAACGAAAGCCGACAAAAATCACACACCACTAAATCTATCGAGAAGCAATACAGACATAGATAACTATAACGACATAGACCATACACAAAGCAAAATAAACGCATGGGCCATAAAACAATTACACGGAAAACACTACTACACCACTACAGTCGAGAATATAAACAAAAACGACACATACGAATGGCTAAAAAAACCTATTCCCAGAAACCGAAGGATTCCTAATCGCAATTCAAGATCAGGTAATCTTAACGAAAAACTACCTCAAATACATAATAAAAGATATAAACATACAAGATGATAAATGCCGGAAATGTAAATTAGTAGCCGAAACAATAGAACACATAACAGGGGGTTGTAAAATACTAGCAAATACCGAATATACGGAAAGACACAACATGGCAGCAAAAATCATACATAAAGCAATAGTGAACAAATACAAACTGGAGAACACTACAACACCATACTACAAATATACACCAACAACAATAATAGATAGCGAAAAGTACAAACTATACTGGGACACAACATTAAACACAGACAAAACAATAAAATACAACAGACCGGACATCACATTTACAAACAAAGAAGACAAGACATCATACCTAATAGACATTCCAATACCAAACGACATCAACATCCCACAGAAATACAGAGAAAAAATAGAAAAATACACACCACTTGCACAAAAAATACACAGAATATGGAAACAAAAAAACCTTTACATCATCCCTTTCATCATATCAGCAACAGATATTACACCGAATAATTTTAAATCACATCTCACACAACTACAACTAGACCCAAATATACACCAAGAAATACGAAAGGCGATTATATTAAAAACATGCAACATAATCAGAGCCTTCCTAAATTCAGGAGATTAAAACTGTCAGACCTGGCAGGAGTCCTGTCTGATATGCTAATATGCCCGAGAAATCGGAGAGAAATAATAAAATAAAAAAAAATAATAATAATAATCTGTTTTACCTTCCAAATAACGTAACCCAGTAACCATAAAAAAAAAAAATATCTATTCAACCTTGAATTCTTACTCCTGTTCTCGTATAGAAGTTTCACTTGAGTTATTTCATTTTTATTTAGGAAATAATTGATTTAGAATATAATCCATTTACGTTTGTAAGTTTTTCTCGTCCCAAAAAATAAATATTCTTTTTTAAATTACATACACTGATAATCGTCTAATATAATACGAATTATTATTTCTAATCATCGATCTGTTACGCAAAAATATTTATGCGAGGTTAAATTCGCGATGGTTTCTAAATAACTTAAAAATTCGGCCTGTTGAATTCTTGTATTTGTATTTAAAACAAGGATTTCTAATTTTTTGGAATGAATAGTTCTATTTGACAAAGATATTTATTCGTATATAGACAACTCTTAAACGTAACGGTCAGAGTAGAAGTGACTTTCAGATGTCATGGGAGGTATTTTAAATGAAATCGGAACAAGGAATGATCTAGAAAAAGGATGTTCCTTATTAATTTAAGGATTTCTTATTAGTGTTCCCGTGGTGCAGTGGAAGATTACCTAAAGTTTCAAATCTTTCCATTAAAAAAGTTTTTCCAGGCGATAGGACATATGGCTCGGCGTAAATAATTGGAAACGGAAAGTTTTATGGTAATTATCTGTTTACCATCTCGATATGGATATGAGTTTTATCTACTGGGCCTAACCCTCTCCCCCCCCTCCCTCTAAGATTGAAAATTATGGATTTATACAGAATTTTCATCAAACTCTGATAATGGAATGGATAATCTTAAATTACGTTTCCTTTTCACTATTGGTGATTGTGCATGAGCGGAAGTACTTGGTTCTAGATTCCTATCACTTCCTAAAGCTATAGAATTTTCTGCGTTTTGTGAAATTTTATGTTTCCCCCTGAAATAAAACAGTTATTATATAGCATATTACGGTACAAGGTTCTGTTGATCTTGATAATAATTTAAATATTTTGCATTTAATTCCAATATACAAAAGAAGGGTTGCCAGGAGGCTATAACCTACATAATTTATCCAAGAACAAGTTATTTTTATAAGGGTACGAATTCGCATGTGACTACCTATTATTTCGGCTTCATTTACTAATTCATCTAATTTCTTGCCGTATAATTTAAAGTCGGATGTATCTATTTTCGGTAATTCTAAAAATTAGAATGTGTAGTATTGCATTATTGATTTTGTTAAGATCGTCTTGTAATGTGGTTACATTAAAATGAATAATAATTTATTAACATTTTGTCGGTTTTTTTTTAAAGATATCTTTACTAATTTGGTTTGATTTCTGAATAGTTCTGCGTTACGCTTGTTATCACTGTGTACTAAATCTATCTCATTATTATAACATTGGGCGTCGCTGGAACTCATAGTGCCAAATAAAATTTTACTTATTTCACCGATAGGGTCGAGTAAACCTCGTCGATGCCTTCTACTTGTTGCTTGATGTCTAATAGAAGAGGATAGTCGCTCGCGACTATCTTTAGCCATATTTAATTGACTGACTAATCAACATTATGATTGGCAGCATTCCTGCATCAAATTAGTATTAGCAAATTTGCACTGATTACAGTGTAGAAGCAAAGGTTTTCCTTTAACGTTAATTAATATGTTAACGTCTCTCGGTACGTCGAGTACTTTATAGGGTCCCTCGAAAGGAACAAAGACCAGTATTCTTATCTCTTTTTTTTACCATGTCTCCTTGCTTGTAAATGTTAAGACAGGCAAATTTTAAAAATATCTTTCCTTAGAAGTCATCTTTGCCTCCTTCAATGCTTTTCGTGCATTGCTTTAAGGGGTCTACTCCAATTAGACACACTAAAAAAAGACAGTTTTTTAGAATTATTTTAACAGTTTTATATTATAAATATTGATATATAATTTATTGCACTGTATTAATACACTATCGAACTACATTAAACAATTTTTTTTTTTATATTTTAGTAACTTTTTATACATGAAAATGATACTTCAAAAAACGTCCTAAAAAAAGGTGTGTCCTCGCTGTTGATGAAATCTCTGGAATCTGGGTCTGAAACAAAAAAATCTAACATTGTTTGATTCAGTATATTGATAGCTATAGCGCATATCGAACGATTTTTGATTTTTGAAAAATTGAGAAAATGGCGGACATTTTTTGAAAAAAAAAAGAAAAGAAACGTTTTTTTTTACTGTTTTTGGCAAAAACAAAATAGTTAAAATCAAAATCTAAAAAAAACCTCGATATACACTATAGCTATAAGAGTAAAGAATATGTGGTAAAAATTTCAGAGGGATCGGACTAGTAGTTTCGGAGATTTTTTCAACAAGGCATTGGAAAGCGTCGTTTTGAGAAAAACGCGTTTAAAGTTTTTTTCAAGGAAAAATCGTGAAAAATTTTACCTGTTCTTAATAAGCGATACCTACACTATACATTATACCTTCCTCTTCTTCATAACGTTCATTTTCATCCAAAATAGCGTTTCTGCGTTGCGTCCTGGCTTCTTTTGAGGCATTACCCGAATAAAGTCGCCGTCGATGGAAAAAATGCCGTAGATCCGCCAATGTCCAACTGCCAGCGTTCGGCCAATCATTGGCTATTAGTAATGGCCCTATCCTGGTTGATTACTGGCGTTTATAATCAAAAAAATATTTTTTTAGAAAAGGTTTTTTTTTAATTTATATTTTTTTAAATTATTATTTTGTATTTTTCGAATGTATTAACACGTTCGTCGCCATGTCTCCGTTATACGGAGACGCTCTTTTTGTCGAAGTTATAATATTTTCGGTAAATAAACGATATTTTTATATTTTATTATTTTCGGTAAATAAACGATATTTTTATATTTTATTATTTTTGGTAAATAAACGATATTTTGTAGACGAAAAAACTAGTATTCAGTTCTTTTCTTTATATTTTATTTTCTGGAAAGGAAAACTCTATTGAGAGACTAAAAGAAAAGATTAGGAGGGCTAAAAACCATAAAAAACCTAAGAATTATCGAAATATATTGGTGCGATGAAAACTCTTTTTACACTGTCAGACCTTTTGAGTAGTCTCGGACATTGTCTCTTATGTAAACACATGCGACACCAGAAAAAGAAATGATGTTCCGATATTCCCATACGAAGTTGCTATCGATGGAAAAAAAGATCGGCCGATGTCCAACTGCCAGCGTTCGGCCAAGCATTTGCTATTAGTAATGGCTCAATCCTGGTTGATTACTGGCGTTTATAATCAATAAAATATTTTTTTTAGAAAAGGTTTTCTTTTAATTTATATTTTTTTAAATTATTATTTTGTATTTTTCGAATGTAAAAAAAATTTTACTAGTATTAATTCAGTTAATTTATTTATGAACAACTAATTATTTAGTAATTTTAAAAAATTGTAATTAAAGTTGTTAACGCCGTCTTCTGATATAAAACCGGTAGTTACAAAACATCTACATTAAATATTTTTGAAGTGAAAACTTCTTTAGAATGGACGATACTAAATAAGAGAAGAAAAAGGGACAAACATATAGGATTAGGCCTGCGAGAGAATGAGACACAATATAGCTACACAGTTTTTCCTATTCTCGGTCTTTGATTCGTGGTCCCCACTCCTGGCTACTTGGTGTGTGTGTGTTTTTTTTTTCGTGGGTAGGTGGAAATCTTCGACGATAAGACCCTCGGAAACCCGCGTTACCTAGGAGTGTGGGATTTTTACCCACTAAAACCACCTCCCTTAGTCCCTGCATTGTGTTACGCCGCAGGACCGCCGTCAGGCATTACTTCGAGGGGCAAGGAATCGGCTACGGCCGCGCCAAGATTTTATTCTTGCTCGTGTCTATTCCGATCTTCCACGCGCAGCTTCTTCAAGACAACTGTTGCAAAGTCCTCGATGCTGTTCCATGAGTCTGCTGTATTGAGCATGAGATTCACAACGTTATCAGGGGTGATCCTTTCTTTGAGGTGCTCCTGAAGTTGGTCACGCTCGTTGTTGAAACGTGGGCACACGAAAAATACATGCTCCGCGTTTTCGGCCACGTTGCATGCCGGGCAATCCTCACTGTCGTCTAGCTTAAAACGGTGGAAATATTTCCGAAAGCAGCCATGGTTCGTTAGGAGCTGGAAGATAGAAGCCTACCTCCCCATGGTTGCGTATCACCCACGCCTCAAGCGATGGAATCAGCCGGTGTGTCCATCTGCCTTTAGGCGACTTGTCCCAGCGCTGCTGTCATTGCAGTAGTGACGCTGCCTTTTCCTCCTTGGCAATGTTCTACATATCAAGTGAAGTCCGCCGTCCTCGGGTGTAAATCCTGCTTCGCTCGTCCGAGAGGATTTTCAGCGGTGGCATGCCTGCCACTACACACCCTGCCTCGTACGATATGGTGCAGTACCCGGCAGCAACTTTGAAAAGAGTTCTGCGGTATACCGACACCATTTCTCTTCGGTATGAAGCAACCTTGAGTGCCTCGTGCCAGATCGGCGTAGCGTACAACAGTATCGACGTTGTAACTGTTGCGAGCAGTGTTCTTCTCACCTGCTTGGGCCCTTCGATATTCGGCATAAGTCGCGCTAGTGCCGTGCCGATTTTCGCACCCTTAGCAGCCACGCTCTCCATATGCTGCCTGAAGCTGAGCCTTGCATCTAGTATCACTCCGAGGTACCTGATATAGGGTTGCGACGTGATTTCACAATCGCCGACGTCCAGAGTAATGGTTTCGACCTTCTTTTGACTCGTGAAGAGTACGGCCTCGGTTTTATGGTGCGCAAGCTCCCGATCGACCGACTGTATCCACTCTCCTACGATTTTGTATGTTTCCCCGAAGGCCCAGGACCGAGCCTTGTGGAACTCCTCCAGAGACTTTGTAATACGCAGGCCCATTCTCGGTATCGTACA